GACCGGCTAAAGAGGACCACAGAGAATAGGACAAAGTGGAGGTGTGCTGTTGAAGCCCTATATTCCACTCGGAAACCAAGGGAACAATAATAATAATATTCAGTGCCCAAATTCTGCTCTTACATTACACATAGTATTATTATATCTGTAATCGGTGATTACTGCAGGTGAAACGTAAGCCTGTGTCGTGGCAGCGTCCCGGTTTTCATTCTTTAGATCACTAGTCCAGCTCTGTACTGATGACTATAAGACCTGTTTTCACCTTCAGTCATCATTTTTCTAAAGATCAGTAGTCTACTTTTCCGAGGCTATCCCTCGTATCTTCAATATAAGTATCTGTAACTACAATGAGCTACTGGCAGGTAATTACGAATAATTACTACCTGACCTACTGAAATACAACTGGTTATTTGTGCGTCGGTGGCACAGTGGTTAGGACTCTCGCCGACCATGCATATGGTCCGGGGTTCGATCCCCTGCCGGCGCACACCCGATATCTATGGTCGGCCTGAATTTGGGCTACCGATATCCATGCTGAAAATTCCACACTTGTACTGAAAATACGGTGTGGAATCAAGCTGTAAATCAAAATAAAATATAAAAAAATACATCACTTATCAATTGTCCAATAATTACAGTTTGTAGTGGAGAAGATTTTTAGCTCACGCGGATGATTTCGATTCAGTTTTGTTCTCTGAGCTGGTTGATTCAGTTGCAGGGCTTTCGTTGTCCTTCTAGGCAATATCTTCGGCGCAGGTTTTAGTTCTACAGTTTGTGCTGTGAATATATTCTCATAATTTCGTTTTTGTTATTCTGAATTCAGGTTTTCTTTGCAATGGAGCTTGCTTTGCCTTCGTTCAAATCTCCCACTTAATTTATTGTACTTCTCATAAAAATTGATTTTGACTTCATTCTGACTCTAACTTTTAATTGTATTTGAAATACGAGGGTATAATAATGGTTATTATGTGGTTTGAGTACCGTAGTTTTGGGTTTGCCCATAATAACTGGAACATTATCAATATTGAGGGGATAGAATGTTGTACTGAAGAGAAGAAGGTTGGTGAGACCAGAAGTATTAATTAGCGTGACAAAATACAGTGTTCATCAAGGCAATCAAAAACCTTACACTGATTTCCCAGTGTTGTCAATTCCTCGCGTCTCTTCCCTATTGACATTTCGACCAGCATATAAATTTTCATTGTTTGTTTGAGGTAATGACTCATTTCTTTGTGTTTTGAGTGGAATACTGGCCTCCACGCTTGATGCTTTGAAGTTACAGTTTCGATGTTGTTTTCTGGAGGGTGTGGTTGCTAGCCTCCTTTTTTACCACTCCCACTACTGGCTAAGAGAGATTTAGCAGTGCATCGACAAAGAATCGAACCTGTAACATAAGCGTGGCTGAAAAGCACTCCACCACTAGCCCACCAACTCATCACTCATGTTTATTTACAAGTAGTACACATCACAGAGTTAAATTGCCGCCAAGATATGATATTATCACTTAATCATTTTAAATTTTCCGCTAATTTATTCTGTTGATCTTGATCTAAAAACAACAGTCGTTGGGATCAATTGCATAGTAATTACATGAGGTACCCTAGTGGAAAATAATTTGGCGTTTGAAGCGTAAATCCTGGCTATGAGTCTCATTGGGATGCCAGTACATCCAGCTGCTAGCCACCGTCGTCTAAATAATACTAAAATATTGTTTGTTATCTACCGATGAGTATTTTAATCAGTCAATCACCTTTATTATTAAGGGCTACATTTTCAACGGAAAATAAGATTATTTCTCACAGCAAACAAATATCATCTTTAACGTTATATCGTTTGTATTTTATTGATAGCCTCATGGAATGTATTCTATTGGTTCGAGTCCTTTCGTACAGATTTTTATGTACCCTTCAATCGTCCATCACCAATTATATCAATAATAAGTCTGGCAAACAACAGCTATATTAGATAGATAGTCTCACAGTCGGAATGTTCTTTTTTGTGTTTCTGGGTTTTTTTGAAATTATATTGTCATATTGTAATAATGCAGAAGATTTTGTAGCTCAGATGGATGATATTGAAGTAACTGTGTTCTCTGAGCTGGTTGATTTAATTGCAAAGCACTCCTGTGTTGGAGAGAATGGAGGAAAAATGCCTACTAACAGTCTTCAAAAAGAATGGATATCCTCACAATTTCGTCAAAAAGTGTTTAAACTTGAGTCATCACACCAACAACAAGCCAACATCAAAGGCCACAAAAAAGTTCATCCTACCATATATAAAAAAATTTCTCTGAAATAACAGCTTGAATATTAAGACCGTTTGAAATCGATATATATCACGCAAGCCAGCACAACCACTTCATTCGATATTGTGCCAACCAAAAGATCCAACAGAGAAAGAAGATAAAATTAATACCATTTACAAAATAAAGTGTATAAACTGCAATAAACATTACATCGCTCAAAGTGGGCGTCCAGTTCGAATCCGAATCCAAGAACACAAACTGGCTCTGCAAAATCAACATGTTCTGTGGTCGTTTTTAGTCCAGAGTATGCCTGTTTTACCATTCTGCTGTATGATCTACTCCATCACAGTCAAAAAGGTCATCGGAGATAGTAGGCAGTCTTTTCTTACTCCTATTTTCACTTCAAACGCCTCTCCGGCCTTACCACTGTAAACTACTTACTCGGTGTATGGCTTCATCATATAGCTTTTGAATGAGGTATACAGACGTTTGCTGCACTGTACTGCCTAAGCAGTCACCGGGTTACTTCACGATCGATATTGTCAAAGGCCTTTTCAAAGTCAAGAAAGTTGAGACAAATAGTCAACTTGACACCTATGCTGATCATTTAATAACTAGAAGTAACTTCCTTTTTGATGGCTAACACTAGAATTCACCGTGCCTCTCGTCGTGTTCGAGATTAGTCAGCCAAATCATGATTGCTTAGCCGTAGTCTTCTTGCTTTCCAGTGCTCTTACGATGTTGCAAATGGTGATAATGACACACCGTGGGGACCTATCGCCTATTTGATTTACTAAGACAAATTCACACTGCTTCATTACAAACACTGAGAGACGTGCATTTACAACCTCTTCTTACTATTAAATATCAAGATACTCCTTTACACCAGATGTACTTCCTTCCTGATACAAGCTAATACAATCATCGATGAGAAATCCAAACAAGTAGATAAATAATTTGAAATTAACTGATTAAAAATGCCCATTAAAATTTTCAAAAGAGTAGATACTGAACAAAGAGTACTCTTTTCGATAAATTCATCATCGGGCTCTACAATTATATATATATTATAGTGAATGAATGAATTAGTCTTATGAACGACATTAATGTTTAAATAATATCAAATCAATAATATTGATAGATTACAGCTGAATAGCATCAACATAAAATAAACTGAATGTCAGGAGAATCAGGAAAGATAATAGTAGAAATTCATGAGTTTATAGTTTCTGCTGAGGGCCAGGGCAGTAGTAGGGGCTGGACTTGTTTCTTTTGAACACAGAGCACTGGTTGTTTGAGGCGAATTGCAATAGCCTCTGCTGTTTGGAGCATGTGGTGCTTCGATGGTTTAGGTAATTTGTTAGGCACCCGGTATATTATAGAGAAGGATTCTTCTACGCTGGCTTTGTGGCCGGTTTCCATTCGATGGTCCAATGTCGAACTGTTAATGGTTTTAATTACACCTTTACTTAGCCATAGTGGGAGGTGTTCTCGAGCACGAAGAATCAAGTTACTAGAGCAACGGCCAATATAACTCGCTGCACAAGCGCAGTTGAAATGATAGATACAATTTGAAGTGGCTAGTCTAGGTACTTCATCTTTCAGTCGGTTGTGTAGAGAATAATACCTGTAGGTCGCCAGCATTAAAAGTTCTTTGAACTGATTTTCTTAATTTCTTCGTAATTAACTCGCTTGGTATATCGCCCTTGAATTGTAGTCGTATATATAAAGGCTTCTTGTTTACAGACAGGGAGTAGTCCTTTTCCAGTTTCTTTGTCATGTGTTTCTTGATAAATTTGTCAGGATGACCATTTTCGATTAAAGTATCATATATAATGCTTAATTCATCTTCAATTACTTCTTCTGAGTATATAGCTCTAACTCTGTGGCTGAGGATCTTCACTAAATTTCTTTTGTAATTGATAGGAACGAAGCTGTGAAAATGTGTATATTGTCCTGTCCAAGTGCTTTTTCTATGCAAATTTCTTTTTATGCTACCATCTGGTTTTCTTGTAAGTAGGACATCCAGGAAGGCTATTCTGTCTTAGGATTGCTCTTCGCATTTGAATTTCATAGCCGAGTGTACTTAATTGAATTCAGTAATTATTGTACTCCTATCAGAACCATTATCACAAAGAATAAAGGTATCATCCATATATCGGCAATAAAATGAAAGCTTACTGATAAGGTTGTTAGTGTTGTTCATAACACTAATTCATTCATTCATTATAATGTATATATAATTGTAGAACCTGATGATGAATTTATCGAAAAGAGTACTCTTTGTTCCCTGTCTGTTCTTTTGAAAATATGAAATTAACCTTTAATCAAATTATTAATCCCAGAATAGAATGAAACTTCTTATCTAAAAAAACACAGAATAACTGACTTCAAGCTTTATTTTTTCCTTAGGTATTTCTATCACATACTCCCAGAGATTTGAGAAGGCAATACTTCCAAATTTCGTTATTCACTAACCCCACGAAACTCTCCACTAGACGGCATACTTAGCAGACAATTCAAATTTAAACTACTGGTGAAAACAACTACCGGAAGATAATTTCTTCAAAAGTGAGATTAGGTAATTTTATTTATATTCTTATCCGTACCTGTAAAAGTCGGCATATACCTGCTGAGACGGGTTAAATCATAGATTATCACTAATACTTGTTTGCTCGTCTAAGTTTTATTTTCATACGATTTCTATAACTGATAAACTGTTTGTTTGTTTTTCTTAAAAAAAATTTATGTGAAACTAATCAAATCCACATAACACAGTGAGTGGAGTATTACAGTCAATCGGTTTCCACAGCGCTCTTCTTGTAACACTTCCAATACATTCGCCAGGGATATTTTCTCTTCGACATACCCAACGTCTAGAAAAGGTAATTGATAGACAAATTGAAAGTTAGTTTCTATTTTGTAATGTCATGCAATGCTGTGCTTCTTCTGTGCTTTCTCTACATCGAAATACTCAACACTTACGCATAAGTTGGCATATTCCTTGGAAAAATATAATCATCCCCACGAATTGTTTTTACTCCAGGTAAGTGGAAATTTGCTTTAATCTTTGCAGTAAGAAATAACTGGAAAGAAAACATTTGAAAAATAATTAGATTTATATTGAAATTATATATATATATATGTGCTGGGTAATGACTGAAAATGAAGTGAAAATCTCTGTTGTGATGGGGTTCGAACCAGCGGCTTTGGAATTTCGTTTCACTCCCAGTATGTCGGTAATGCAAGTGTAGAACTTTACACTTGGCAGTGTCATTACAAGTTGACTCTAACAAAGCTTTTGGAGTTAATTATCTAACTTCACCCTTCTTTCTGTTCTCCCAATGTCTCTGAACATGTGCCAAAAAGCTTACCTCACAAGGGGATAAATGCTTTGGGCAGTGCTGCAGCCAGATATCTTGTTGATACGGGTGGACGTTCAGAAATCCTTCAAGATTATTAACAAACAGTATAATTCTCCTATCCTCAAGTATGCCGTAGCAATCTCTGTCAAAAGTTTAAAACCTAATTTATGCTTTCAGAAAGATTCACTTATCAGCCTTGCCTTGTCCTGGTAACTCAGACTCTAATCTCTTTCCCTCCCCTAATTTTCGCCTTAACGTAATTTAGTCTTTCTGTTTTCTTGTTTCTATTACTTGACTTGAACTCATCACACCGTTACGCAACTGATTAGTTACTTATCACCACTTCATACTCACCTCTTGATTGTGCAGTTCAATTTCCAATGTGTCCAATCATCAATTTTGTAAGTTTGTATTATGTTTAAACTCTGATCTCTTTGCATAAGTTATGTAAGTGTAACTTGTGAGCATCGTTTATTAATCTTGTGCCTGTGTTTGCCAGAAATCAAGTAACCCTTTCAGGTATGTTAAAATGACTCTGTACATATACTGAATTAACTTTAAGGTTGTACACAGATGAAGAGAAACCAACGAAGTGAATGATGACCTCATCGTATTCTGCTCAAAAATGTTTCTGCTTTATTTATATTCATAATGCGGAGTAAGAGTGTGGCATAATTTTGATGTAAAAAATCTATACATATTAGTGTAGAACCAATTATTGGGGAATATATTTCACTCAGTTTATCGTTTTCTTTTCTAAATACCATATTGGATAGGCACATTTGACATGACACAGAGTGAGTGATGCAGGATTAATAATTGAATGACGCTTCGATCAAAATAAATGTAAAGCAATTAGTTCCCTTTATGAATTTCGACAAAACAATAAGAAGACATAGTTTATCTGAAACGTGTAATGTATTGGCGCAACACATTTCCGACATTCTGATCACACACGTACTTGTCATACACAGCTTTTATAGAAGGCAAGAAGGCATGAATAATTACAATACAGGTTACATTGTGTACAGGTCAAGGTCACAGATAATGGGTAGGGAGACGCAAAAGGTTAAAGAGAATAATGGATGCCTGCCATTTTTAGATGTACTCATAACCCACCGAGAAGATGGGTCAGTAAAACGATCTGTCTACAGAAAGTCCACATGGACGGGACAGTATCTAAATTATCATAGTTTCTGTCCACTACAGTATAAAAAGGCGTTGGTTAAATGTTTGTTCAAGCGCATTCACCGTATATGTACTGCCGATACCATTGAAGAAGAAAGACAACACCTCACTGAAATATTGTTAGATAACAATTATCCACTGAGATTTATTAGACGTTACGGAAGTGTCTGGCGGTTTTATTTGTTGTTGCAGCCACTTTGGAATGTGTTCTGTAGCCCTAACCTGCAGAGACCGATGAGTCCTCCTTTTTACGTGTCTCCAAACATACATGTAAATTGATAACCACAATGGGATGTGACACTAGCGTTCGGATAATGTAATGGTTTACAAGAGAGCATAGTTTTCGTTTTCTCTATGAAGATAAGTTTAGCTGCATAATAGGTTCTATTAATTGCGGCCTTGAGGCTTTGTCTAATGACTAGACATTTTTGATCACCTTTGAACGGCAAAGATATGTAAACATCCTTTTTGGGAGCTGATTGGATTGGTAAAGCTCTACGGTTGACACTTCCGTAACGTCTAATAAATCTCAGTGAGTAATTGTTATCTAACAATATTTCAGTGAGGTGTTGTCTTTCTTCTTCAGTTGTATCGGCAGTACATATACGGTGAATGCGCTTGAACAAACATTTAACCAACGCCTTTTTATACTGTAGTGGACAGAAACTATGTGGACTTTCTGTAGACAGATCGTTTTACTGACCCATCTTCTCGGTGGGTTATGAGTACATCTAAAAATGGCAGGCATCCATTATTCTCTTTAACCTTTTGCGTCTCCCTACCCATTATCTGTGACCTTGACCTGTACACAATCTAACCTGTATTGTAATTATTCATGCCTTCTTGCCTTCTATAAAAAATGTGTATGAAAAGTGCTCGTGTGTGTGATCAGAATGTCGGAAATGTGTTGCGCCAATACATTACACGTTTCAGATAAACTATGTCTTCTTACTGTGCTGTCAAAATAAATGTATTGCTCATAATCATACCAGTGTATTTCTTATAGGTCTTATTAAAGAAAAGTAGCGGTGCCATTAATGGGAATATTATAAATAACAAAAAATGCATTGCCTTCACAGTAACATTATATAAAGAAGGGGAACCAGAAGTTCTATGTGGGACTCTGAATCAGGCTGAAATTAGGGTGACATTTAAACCAACCAACTCACTCAGAGACAAACCCTATCAGCTTAAGGACCTAATACACCCAATAGGGAAAAATAATATAATTTACCAAATACCATGTAATGGCTGTGAAGTGGGTTTCATAGGTCAAACCAGTAGGTCGAGGTTATTCATCAGAAAGTAGACATCCGACTGGATTTAGAATAACAAAACCCGATAAATTAAGTAATCCGGAGAAAAAGTCGATAAAGTCTTCGCAATGCATTCGCTTGAGCATGATCACACAGTAGGACGGGATAGGATGAAAGTATTAAAAATTTATATATATATATATATGTATATATAAATGTGGGTGGAGAAAGAGAGGTGATTCACTGAATCCCTGTTCATCAAATCAACACCGAATACGTGCAATCGACATGATACAGTACTTATACCAAATATGTGAGCAATTACGACTAATAACGAGGGAGGATACAAATAAACTCATCTAATGTGGGATAACAGTCTGTCAAGTGATAGGTATTTCAAAGTGTTATCATTATTATTATTATCTCCTAAGTAAAAGTTGACTACTTTTGTAACTCTTCAGCCACGTACACTTTCTTCATCAGAATGCATCTTAGCTATATTACCACCGATTGACCGACACAATTCTTCAGCTTCCCAATGTGTAGCATTTCGAAAGAAGTGGACATAACAAAGACCGTGATGTGGTGAACAAAAAAATTCTGAAAAAGAAAGGAAAAACAAAAGACGCAGAAAGAAGATTAAACAATTACACTGATATATAGTAAAAATAGAGGTATTAAGTTTCAGACGCATCCTTGTCGATGAATCATTCTCATTGTGGACAGTCGCATATTCATTTATTATTGCGTTTATGTCTGACGAGAAGAAAAAGGGAGAAACATATTTTCAATTTTGATTAAAGTTCAAAACATTCAGAAATAGCTACGTAATTTAAAAATAATAACCACTTGAAGGCTACTAAAAACCAGACAAAATAATAAAGTAGATGTTGCTGTCTTTCAACTCCTTTCATTTAGAGCGGAATATAGGGCCTCAGTAGTGATGTTGTTTTTACACCTGGAGTTGCTAACGTCCCTCTTCCCCGAGATTACTGTTTGTCAGTGTACTAGGCAAGGTGAAAGAGTGCGTCAGCCTGGATAGTGTGAATGCTTGGTGATACCCCTGCCACTGAACCACCGACAGTCAGTTCGATGACGCAATATAATTAATATAACTGTATGCACTTGAATGACGAAAGTGGTTAGATACGATATATATCCAATAAGTGAACAAAGTTTTCTGTATGAGCAGATCAAACCCCACTAAACTCGAATTTTTTTTCTAACTTCTGTACTTGCAGAAATTATGTGCCTACGCTTTTCAAGGTATTTCCACATACCATATAAACAACATCCAAATTCGCTACCAGAAACACTTGGATAGGCTGAGGTGGAACTGCAAGAGAACTTTCTTTCTGTATTATGGAATAATTGCCGCCGCTGAAAAACGTTGCTCTACAAAGAACGGCTGATACTCACTTACCTTGTCCCGTATGCATATTAGAATCGCTGGTTCGATTAGCTGGTAAAGGAGTCTTATCTTGTCGGCATGAAGAATTTTTGTCACCAAATGAGGAAAGTAATTTCTCAATATTTACACTGGTCAGCTTCATTTACATAAGTGGAACAACTTGAGGAGTCCATCGTCGTCCAATGTGGTTAGGAAAGGCAATCGTAAGTTCACTCAGGGGTCCCAAACTGGCACATCTACTGGATACGCAGCACAAGGTTGATAAAAATACAGTCTTTACAGCTATATACATGGTGCCACTTCAGTTATCTGGATTGGCACACCTTCGATTGGTTCGCATACATGAGGCAGATGCCATAGAAATTTTTCAACCTAATCTGTGTGTGTGTGTATTCAGAAGAAGTTTGTGCAGACAATCTTCCCCACACGGCCTCCATCTTTAACCTAGAATAACTTTTCGTCCTGATAACATAGACTAACTGTAAACATTATTTTTAATGTTATCGTTATCATTGTTATACTGTGTTATGATTGTACTTTGTAATCTCACTTTCACAATTTATTAAAAAGCTCTAATATCGAATTACTTTTAGACAGTAGTAACTTTTCCTCTCTATCCTTGTAAATCTTAGGCTTCTACTTATGCGTTCACAATAGTTAACTGCCCAGGTTATACAAACATTTGCATGAATTTTTACCTATTATTATTATTATTCACTAATCCATATGCCTAGACTTTAGTTCTATCAACCACACTGGTTGCTAATGTCCATGATTAATTGTTTTATCATGTAATTGTATAGTCTAATGAGGAAGCACCGAAAACACTCATATGCTTAGTGTTAGCGGTTAAATTGTAGATATGTGAAAAGTAGCTTTCAGGGAACCATATGGACATTTTTAGGAGAATTTTCTTCACCTCTAATTACATGAACTGAAAGTAACTGGCATGCTGCTAAGTTATTTCAAAAGATCTAGGATTGTGAGTGATCTAGTATTTGGATACACTTTTTCTAATAACTTTGAACAGCTTAGCAAAATGTCGTTTTTTGTCCAGCCGATATTTGGATGGCAGGTACAATGTATTTTCTGGCACAAAGGAATGATCAGACATCGTTTCGTGTTCACAGAAACGCAGCAGTGGAAAACAGTAGGTTGTTCATTTCCGTGGTAGAATATTCACCCACCGCGCACGTGGGCCAGGGTTCAGTCACCGCTAGACGCACTCCCTGAATTTTTCTAGCTAGTAAAACCCTGTAAAAAGATGAGGTTGACCGAGCAACCCACCCTGTGAAAAATAAATACCACAACTATTGGAACTTTAAAGCTCAAGCTTGAAGCCCTAGGACCAAAATAGTAATAATAATAAATAACCTTGTAGATAAAACTTCAGAATCGTCTGTTGTCTTTAGTTTGTTTTACATCAAAAAATAATACCTCTGAACCTAAGGTTAACTAAATTGGCGGATGTTAGATTCTGAAAGGACTCAGGGCCTCTTCTGAGTTAGTTCATTCCTTTGATATAGTTAAAGTTCCATGAGGGTATTTCATGAGATTTCACGGTCACCTACAACGCGCCCAAAAATACCAACAACGGAAGTAGAATTACCAGTGAATATCAACCCCCCGACGAGAACAGAAGTCCTGAAGGCAATCAAGATGCTAAAAGCTGGAAAAGCGGCAGGACCAGATGGAATCCCAGCAGAAGCAATGAAAATGGATCTAGAGACAACAGCGGACTTGATGACGCCACTACTGGAGAAGGTGTGGAAAGAACGCAAGCTACCCGAGGATTGGAAGAAAGGATACTTATTCAAACTACCAAAGAAAAGAGAACTAAGTCAATTCAAGAACTGGTGCGAAATTATTCTTCTATCCATCCCAAGAAAAGTACTAAGCCGCATCATCCTGGAGAGAATCAAACATGCCCTGGATGAAGGACTTCGACCGGAACAGGCTGGATTCAGGAGAAACAAGTCATGCATTGATCAAATCGCCAAATTACGGATCATCATTGAACAAAGCCTGGAATGGCAGTCGCCTCTCTATCTCAACTTCATCGAGAGGTGATTTGGAAACTACTTCGCTACTATGGGTTGCCACCGACAATTATACATCTCATCCAACAGCTGTATGACAATGCTGCATGCCAAGTAATCCACAACGGGAAACTTACGGAATCCTTCAAAGTGAAGACGGGAGTAAGGCAAGGCTGCCTACTATCGCCAATGATTTTCTTGATTGCAGTAGACTGGATAATGCGACAAACAGCGCGCAATGAGGAAACAGGCATAAAATGGACTCACACAAAAAACTTGGAGGATCTGGACTTCGCCGATGATAAATGTCTCATTTCCCACAAACTACAAGATATGCAAATGAAAGGCAACAAGTCGGCAGAAGAAGCATCAAAGATAGGACTTCAGGTGAACATAGAGAAAACAGAGGTGATGAAAATTCATGGCCAACACCACCAACAGCACCAACAACAGATAACAATCAGCATAAGTGGGAGGAACCTGAAAGAAACAACCTCCTTCACCTACTCACCTAACTGGGAAGCATCGTTTCAACTACAGGAGAACGGAACTGACGAGGATATCAAAGCAAGAATCGGAGAAGCAAGACAAGCTTTCACTACTCTCAAGTCTGTGTGGAGGTCAGCAACACTCAGCATCAAAAATAAGATCCGGATTTTCAACTCCAATGTGAAGTCAGTGCTACTTAACATACGGATCAAAGACTTGGCCAGCGCGTCATAAAGAGCATCTCAAACAAACTACAGACCTTCATTAACAGTTGTCTTCGCTCAATACTCAAGATCAGATGGCCGGCCAGAAAAGATCAACAACATGGTGGGATCTCTGGGAGCAAACCAACCAGGAACCGATTGTGCAACAAAAAGGCAGGAAGAAATGGAGATGGATTGGCCATACTCTGGGGAAACCATCAGGTGACATCACTAGACAAGCCATCGCTCGAGTGGAACCCGAAAGGGAAGCGGCGAGTTGGTCGTCATGTGAAGAGGAGATGAAAGCGTGTTGGCAGACTTGGAGCCAGGTGAAAACTCTAGCAGAGAACCGAACGTAATGGAGACGCGCGGCTGAAGCCCTATATTCCTCTAGGAATTAAAGGAAACATTAATAATTATAATAATAATAATGGCTTTATTCCAAACAGTATTTGTGGTACAGGTATGGAATTTTCAGCGTTCATTACAATATTGCATCTAATTACCTCATAAATTTTATAAGGATTTAAAAATATAAAGCAACAACAACAAAAAGAAAAAAGAGAAATAAAAAAAGAACAGCATTGCATTCACATATTTAAACAATGCACCAAAGGATATGATATATAAAATTAGTCTGTAATAGAATATATGAGCAACAATATAATAGTAACAAAGAAAGGACAACAAAAGCTAATGGGAACTATTTGTTAGAGTGCCGCAGTAAGCTGATCGTGTCGTGCCTAACAGCTTTCTCATCACATAACAGCTGTGCCAGATAAGGTATTGTGGAGTTTTTATACTTGGTAGTCCTGGCATATAGCTTCCTATAGTTGCTTCTAGTTCTACCAGATGAAATGCAAGGAGAGAGCTGCGTATGGAGAGGGTGTTCGGGGTCTGACAATATAGAATTCGCTAGTTTCTTACATGACATTATGTGTCTATCCACAATAGTGTTAACCAGTTGGTTTAACGAAATCCCACTTGCCCTACTAACAGCTTTTAGTGCCCTATGCAGCGAAGCAAAGTCTTTCTTAAGTAGTCCAGGGAAGATTAATGGGGAGCAGTAAAGAGGGATGGGTAGAATACAGGAATTGACAAACTGAGAAAGCAAAGACTGCTTTATACCAGACTGCCTAAACTTCCTAACGTAGAACGTTAAGCGAAGCATCTTTCTAGTCACTAGCAAGATGTGAGAGGACCAGGAAAGATCGGAGGAAATACTCAGTCCAAGGTACTTGACATTAGATGTAGTTTCAACCTCTATGCCGTCAATGATAGTGGGACCATGTGAGCTAGCTAGGTTGTAGGTCACTTTTTTGTCTGAAAGTAAAATTTACTACCTGACATTTAGACGGATTCAGCTTAAGACCGTTTGAAGAGGACCACTGACTAATTTCCGAGAGAAAGTTATTTAATATGGAACAGTCTGACTGAGAGTTGACAGGCATGAAGACAGAGAGGTCATCAGCATACTTGACAAAATTTGCTACATCAGAATGGGGCAAGTCATGTAAGAAAAAAGAAAACAGAAAAGGAGAAAGAACAGCACCTTGAGGAACACCAGCTAAAGTAAGTGAGGTAGTGGAGGACTTTCCATTGTAGACAGTGTACTGCTTCCTATCAGATAAGTAGGAATACAACCACTTATTTATCCAGCTCTCACTCTGTGTTGCAGCAAGCTTACTTAACAAGAGAGACCTGGGTACAGAGTCAAATGCAGATGTGTAATCAAGGAAGGCACACCGAACACATTTGGCTCCTCTATCTAAACTAGAGACTATATTATGATATAGAACTACAGCGGCATCTAAGGTACACCTACTATGTTTATAGGCAAAGGGTTCAAGATTAAGTAAAATAAATCTTTCAATAACTTTTAAAAAAGGTGAGGTATTAGCAATGGGTCTAAACTTGACAGTAGGTCCACTTGTTGATTTATTTATTTATTTATTAATAATATAATAACTTCATATATTATTCAAAATGACAAATTCTGATTAACTTCTAGGTAATTAAATATTGACGTGTTGTGAACAGGTGGAACAGGTATTCAAAACAATCAGGAGAGATCCTGCAGTGACGTTCTCCTGAATTTAAACAATCAGTCAGAATGAAAATAGAGATTGATTTTTCGGGGAATATTCAGTTTGTTCTACTTCATTCTTTCTGTTGATGTGTTTTGTCAATTTCTTATTGTCAGATGAGAAATGAGGATTATCTAGGGGCAATCATTATATTTTCTCGACTCAGTATCAACATCTTTAGTCATTTAGATCATTAGGATCGCCCTGCTGTTAATCAATTCTCAGTGTTTTACACTGTTCTTTCGTCAACAAAAATCGGCAGTCTGGTTCAGTGTTCACAAAGCTTGACTCCTGATAATAAGTGGTGTTCGGATTGTGGTAATA